AGTGCCAAACTCAATTGGAAACGTTGTATGCCAGTGGCTGTGATCACACACATCAGACTGAGTTTTTGACATATCGTTTGATGTATAGTATGTTATTGAATGATTATAAGAGTAAGTTTATCTTTTCGGTATGACCATTAGACTTAAGTCTTGTCACTTCAAGTCAGTTCCACTGCGCCTAAGCTTACATAAACTACATAGAAAACGAAGTCCGCCTTTTTGCTAGTTAAAAAATCTACCAGTATATCTAGTAAATTAACGACTTTTGATTGTAAACATTCTCTATTTGTTGGAAGTTGTTTCGTCTTTCTGTTTAGAAACAACTCGTATTCTGAATGACATTGATGCTGTGAATGATGGTGATAACGAAAATATTGAACTTGTTTTAGAATTGTGTTCGTCTGTGAGACGAAAAAATTATATACGATTTTTTAGCATATATAAATGTCTTCCACATTTAGCATCTTGTCTAGTGAATTTATTTATAGAACATTACAGAAAATTAACACTTAAAGCATTAGTATGGGGGTAAGTAATTGAAGCAAGGTGTGCTACGATGTTTCGATATGAATTCTATTTTAGATAGAGGTATTTCAAATACAAAAGAAATCCGTTTTTAGGTTGCAGAGTTTTGTTTTGCTCAGAGTTTATTCGAGTGAAGAGTATCGAAGAGACGTACTTAGATAAGATAGTTACACAGTCTATACTAGAGAGAGTGTAGTAGCCATCACAAACAAGTAAGATGGTTGTTGTCTTGATGCGCCTCTTGCGTCTATTTTTCTTGATATCCGCGTATGCCGTCTGGTTGATCGTTCCACCTCATCTTTAGTATGATGATAACAGAGAACAACAGTCTTGATAGCCTTTTCAACAGTGAACTTTGTCCACTACGAGTTAAAAAATTGTGTTCACAAAAACAACCGTCTTTGGGAGAGTTGTGTGCTGAAAAAAAGTGAACAGTTTTCATCAACTTAAATTGGTTGGTTTTTCCAGTTTGTGTTATGAAATTTGGTATTGCGGAGCGTCAACGATATTCTACAGATTGATCGAAATCAGTAGTTCACATTATAGCGAAGAGATCGAATCGTAGCTCTTTCTTTTCAACAAGTGCTGGTGAATTTTCAACGATGATTTATTTGTGTTTGAATATGTTCAACCTTCTTTATCCATCAAAACAGACAAATTTTTTTCTGGAATGACAGACCGCTTTTCTGCATTCGAGTTAGACATCTCATAATAATTCGTGATCTTTTGAGTAAAAGTTCACTCTTTATACTTCTTGTTCGAAAATTGTTTATTCAATGGCAGTCACTTATGACAATGATCTTATGACGATGATGATATTCATTTTTCTTAACTGTTCGTATATACTTTTTGTATACTGAACGATACTAAGTGAGATTCGTTCATGTGTATCTCGAATGGCTTTTTGATAAGATCTAATGTGTGTCGCTTTGCATATTATCAATATGTTCATCATAGTAAACAATGTTAAAATGTGTGTTGGCTAGAGAGATAACGTGCTCTCTTTTCCAAGTATCGTTTTTACTTGAGCGAGATCATTGCATGTTCTCTTATTTATATTACAAGTTTCACTCATAAATAAAGTATAAATAACCGACTTGTCTCTTTGTTATCGGATACGGGCGTTCGTTCTGTTCGTTCTCTATAATAACATATGTTTTTTGTTTTATTTCATCTCAGGTTTGTCCCAACATTTCCGCTTGACGCTATTACGTCTATGTTGGCCTATGATTCTCAAGAGTCATGTAAAACACATCTTAAAACGCTCGGCGTTACATTGTGTGAGGATGAACAAATGATTGATTGTAAACCAACACGACAAATATATGAAAAAGCGAAATCATAATAACAGAGAAAGAAAGGAAGTGAGAGGTTTCAGAGAGATGTCATCCTGTTACTTTATACCAGTTTTTCCAAAAGTAATCACAGAATAATAATCATCACCATCAGAAATTGGTTCAAATTATCATCACCCATTTGCTCTCTCACTCCGATGCGTGTTGGTGTTTAAAGGCTGAAATTTGATCTGGAAAATGCTGTTTTCTTTCACGATCACAAATAGATCTACAATATTTTAACCTTCTTGTTTTCTTTTTATTCAACCATATTATTCAATCCATCCCAAGCAAGCAAACAAGCAAGCAAAACAACCGTTCAATTAACGGTTCATAAACATTAAGGTTTTATTTTATTTAGTTTGTTGTTATTGTTGTGTGTGCAAGTTTGTCAGATAGTCTTTCTTTCACTGTCTTTGATTCATTTTTGCTTGTGACTGCTCTTTTCTCATGTAGTCGCATTTTCCCGTTTCCCTAAGACGCTGTACTAACAGTAATTCATGTTTTCAGTGCGTATTCCACTCTCGTTTCCCTTTTGTCCTCTATTTATCCCACTGAGCAAACTTTTAAATGTGGAAAAACATCTATTGTTTTTCGTTCACCTGTACATCCAATTTGTTTGCCAAATCCAAACAGATTGTATACACCATTTTTAAAGGAAATATCTCTGTCGAGTATCTTGTCTTCCATTTGATGCCTTTCTTTTCTGTTTTGTCAATATTTATGTTTTTCTTTTGTTTTTATTGACATTTTCGATGTCTACCTCTTGCTTCTTTTTTTGTAAATAAGCTTTTTTTTCTCAACGTTCACATTCACACATACTGACATACTTGAAACCAGGTATTGCATGACAACTTCTCTTCGAACTAAGAACAACAACGACAACATAATTCACATTGGATTTCCACAGCGAAATAATCACCATCAATGTGTGTGGTACATCTTGGGTTTGCGACGAAATTTGGGTTTGGTCCGAGTTTGTGTCTTGTATGATGTGTGCGAATCTACCAATTTATATATTTTTTTGTGTAAAGACTGTTTCTTATAAAAATAATAAAAATAGAACGAACGAATTATGGTGTGGTTTGGTGAAGAATTTTGCAGAGACTAATATGCATAACACATATAGAAGAAAAGAAACAGTGAAGCGAATTGTACAGAGAACGCTACTGCCAGTTTCGATGTTCGCATAAAGTATATTCATTATCAACTATCAACAAAGAATATGTTATCGTTTTTTTTCTCCTCTTACTTCTTCGTGTAGTTACTGGCAACGATATCATCAAAAGTTGCTACCAAAAATTTATCACAAGAAGAATCATAGCCACAACTTCCGATTCAGTGCATTTTGGCACACAAAACTTAATTTTTGCTTTGGAACTAATATAACAGATTAGTCCTAAATAATGTAGAGCTGTGAAATCGTCTTGTTTTGCAAATAAGGTTGCGAAAAAAATGAAACCCGATAGCCTTTTTTTCCCTCTGTAGACAGGCAATAAAAAGAAATAACAATAAATAAATGCATTGCTCAATGAATGTTTACTTTAAAACAAAAAATTATCGAAAAGGTACAATACACAAATATACTATTTCTAACGTATCTTAAAAACATATGACAAAATGTATTCTTTTTGGGAAGATGGTTTTTTCTTGCTTTCCTTCTGAGATAAAGTACAATGATGAAAAGCATATCTTCTTCGTTTACATTATTAGTGAAAAATGAATTGATTTGGACATTAACTACATTGTGGAAAAACCTTCTTGCAAAAGTTTACTTCTTTATTTTAAGTTTTGATAAACTATACTATAAAATTTTTAAGAAAATGGTTATCTTAAAGGTATATTTTAAACAACTACTTTAAAAAGTCAAATATAACGAATGAATTTCAAGTCTCATAGTAATGGATAAATAATAGTGCCTTGAAACGAAGAAACCTTGAAAACGTTTCTTCATGAAAATATAAATTTTTTATGCGAAGCATGGCAAAAGCTATCGGCAAAATAGAAAAAAATGACAGTTTTGTATTTCGTTTCGTTTTTCTTCGCTCTTTCGTTTAAACTTCTGCAGTACGTATGAGTCAAAAGAGCAAGAAAAACTGCAGAAACTAACTACTTTTCAAGTTCGAAACTATCCTAATTAA